GGTATCTTGGCCTGGATTTTTAAAATTAGTGGCTTGGAATTAAAGCAAGCAAGTCTTTTCATGGTTAAATCCATCTTTCTTATCTTCATCAGCCAATCCCAATGGATCCATTGAAGACTTTAAAGTCACATTCCCTTTCATGAAAGCTATAAAATTAGCTTTAGAGAAAAGCTCTTACCAAAGAAAAAATATGCTTAAGACAAAGTTTCAAGTCTAAATCCTATGTTTATAGGCATTGAGCTAAATTTTTTGGTACATTTTTTTCTTGTTGCATGGCCTTCGAGTTTGACTTAATGAAAATTTGTTCTAATGACTTAAATAGTTGAGTCGTTCGAAGATTTTATTTTTTAAATCTTCCCATTATTAACGCTTCATAATAATCTTGAGTAATCTTCTAATCTTGAAAGAATTTAGATTTTACAAATCATGAGTTTTCTTTTTTGGTTTTTTTTTTTTTTGATAAAAATGAGTTTAATCGAGATATATAATTACATAATGTAATTTTTCAGTTTAAATTGCAAAACTTTAATTAGTCATTACACGAGATGTATCCCTACAAATCAAGAGACTTCCTTATTTAATAATGAGGTGTTTGCAATGCATTGCAGTTTAAACTATAAAACACGTAATTAGCGCAAAAAAATTAATGTATATTATTAATTTATTATTAATTTAATAAAAGCTTTCAACCTTAAAGCCTTTGTAAAAGGCTTTTGAGACAATGAAGTTTTATTTCAATTATAAATGATTAAGATTGAGATCTTAAGAGGTTTTCAAGTCACCCTCATCTAGCCCAACATCAACATCCAGAATAATCATAAATTAGTAACAACCATTAAAACAAAAGTTGGCTTGTGTAATTGATGATGCAGCTCTTGTTAATACCTAAATTATATATGCATGCACTTAGTAGTGGATTTTATAACTAAGACAAAACATGTTTTAAGGCACACATTACACCACTCCAAAAGATCCTTGATTTTTTTTTCATGGAATGGATTTCTAACCCAGGGAGTTGCCTAACAAACATGAAATAGAGATTTGAGGGAGAGTGGGGGTCTAGACATTAGGCTCCGGTTACTTTTGATTATGTATTTGGAGCCCAATACTGATGATTGATCTACTTTTTGTTAGTTTTATGGGTTTGAATACTCCTTGTACTCACATAATATATCTCATTTGCTTTTCAAAAAAAAAAAAAAAAAAAACTCCAAAAGATTGTCCCAAAAATGCACATTGTTCATCTGCTCATTTTGTTAGAAGTTAGAACAAACTTCCCAGAAGCAGCGAAGGATTCTCAAT